TAAAAGTTCGATTTAACAGATAATCCTCAATCCAATTTAGTAAAGTGCTAGTGATACCTAGATGATGAAGTTTTTTCAGAAGGCGATCGTGGGGAACAGTATCAAAAGCTTTTGCCAGGTCAAAGAATATAACGTCAACACATTTCTTATTTTCTATAGCTAATGTGTAGTCGTTATAGGTTTCTAAGAGTTGAGTTATAACTGAGTGGTTTTTACGGAAACCATGTTGGCAGGTGGGAAGGTAATTGTTAGTTTCAAGAAATGAAGTTAATTTATTAGAGATAATCCGTTCTAAAATTTTAGAGGTTGGGCATAGGAGAGAGATAGGTCGGAAATCCTTGGGTTCATTTGGGTTATTATTTTTGGGAATTGGTCGGATTATTGACTTTTTCCAAATAGTTGGAATTTTACTTGTCATGATTGACATATTAAATATAATTGTTAATGGAATGGTTAATGAAGTTGCGGTGTTTTTTAAGAAAATGTTGGGAATTCCGTCCGGAGATATGTTATTAACATTGTCAAGTTTGGTCATAATGCTATAGATTTCCTCTGGATTGATATCAATAAAAGATAAAGTATTATTGTTAAAAGTTTTTATGTCAGAGGAGTCAAAGTTAGAAGAGTTAAAAACAGATTGGAATTGTTTGGCGAGACATTCGGCTTTATCTTTGGCTAAAATGGTAAATTGATTGTTAATGTTGAAGATTGGGATTTTGGTTTTTTTGGATTTAAGGAAGGCGCCTATATACTGGAATCTAGATCGGGAATCATTGAATTTTGAGATTTCTCTATTTTTAAAGAAACGAGAAATTTCTTTATCGATTTTTTGTTGAGTGAGAATGTATTTTTCACGGATAGCAGGTTTATTAATATTTTTCCATAAAAGGTTTTTATATGAGATCATTTTTTGAATATGTTTAGGGAATTTAGCAAAATCTTTATTGATCGTTTTTAATGGTATAAAATTTTGGATTATTTGATGAATGATTTCTAAAAATAGGGTATATTGAGAATCTACATTGGTACAATTTATAAACAAAGAATTCCAGTTTAAGCCGATTAGAATATTGTTAATTTGATTGTAATCGGCATTGTGGAAGTCATAAATGAATTCTGGTTCTTTTGGAAAACAATTGAAATTTAAGTTAAATTCAATGGTGTTATGGTCAGAATTTTTGAATGGGGCATTAATGGTAATATTTTTGGTAACGCGAGAGGTGGAAGAGGAGAAAAGTAGATCAAGATAATTGTTTTGTCTAGTTGGGGAAGAGATTTCTTGAATTAGATTAAAGTTTTCTACGAATTGAATAAATAATTTTTCAGACGGTGATTTGTGATTGAGAGCTAGCGGTATATTATTCTTCCAGATTAGATTGGGGAAATTAAAATCACCTACAATTATGTAGTTATGATTAATAGATATTAGGTAACTTAAGGTCTCAAGAAATTCTTGGAAGTCATTTAAATTTTCGTTTGTTGTGGGACGGTAAACTGTTATTATTCTAAATTTGTCAAATTTTGGGGAATAAATGTCTATGGCTACAACATCGGAATTTTTATTTTTAGGAGTTTTAACGGGAGAGAAAGGAACTATATTATCTACTAAAATACATGCACCACCGCCCCTAGAACCTCTATCGCATCTAACAATGGAATAGGATGTACTATGTAAGATTTGGAAATTATCGATTTTTTTGTTCAACCACGATTCGGAAACACAAATTATTTTAAAGGATTTAGAAATTAAAAGTAATCTTAAGGCATCTAATTTGTTAACTAAGCTCCGGCTATTAAAATATAGACATTTATAAAAAGGGGAATTCTTTAAAAAATTTTTTAAAACCTTGAATCTTGGACGACCACTTAGTGGTTTTTTGTTCTTTCAGTCACATTGGCACTCATTCTTTTATTGTATTCATCTCGCTTCTTAGTACGTTCAATTTTCTCAGCTTCCAATTGTTCACGAGTTAGACTTGGCCTAATTAATAAACGAGACCATTTAGCTTCTTTTTTCATTTCCACTCTGTGACGTTTCCATTCAGCAAGTGTAATTCGCTGAAACTTTGAAGCACCAAAAACAATTTTAAGTAAACGACAACCTTTAGCAGTTGGGTCATACTTACCCATTCTGTATGAAACGAATGGGCTCTCAACCCCCAACAAGTTGAGTACATCTTCGATTGCAGCTTTATCTTCAACAACACGAATTGATGGTGTTGTTGATTTAGATTCTTCTAGACCAATAACAACAATAGAACGGTTGCGCTCTTGTTCACTTGCTGATGACTCATTGTTTTTAAAATTTGTTTCAATTGTTTCAATTTTTGATTCAATTGTTGTTAAAGCATTTTTAATTTGAAGAATTTCATTAGAAAAAGACGAAAATTTTGTGTTGTTATTATCGATTTTTGATTCTAAAGCAGCCAATTTTTCCATTATTTGTTGTAATTCAGATTTTGTGGGTGCCATTTCGGCGTATTTAAATCTTTTATCTGAAATCTTAAACTTGGGTAATTAAACTCTCAAAATTTTCGCCTGCGGCGCAGAAAAGGAATAAATCTGGCGACTAAGTCACCCAAAATTCTCAAAATTTCTGCCTGCGTCGCAAAAAATGAAGCAAATCTAATTGAAGGACCTCCTTATTTTCAAAATGTGGCGCAGAAAAAGGCGTAGAAAAGGAGCGCACAAAACGATGGCCGTGCTTTGCGAACGTAACGAAGCGGCGGCCGTCATTCCGCTTGACATGCCCGGCTTTCTCCGCATCGGCAAAACATTTTGCCTCGAAAACCTTAGTTAATAAAATCTCAAAGAGCAAAATTAAAGAAATTGGTAAAATTTTATGCAAAACCATTTTAACTAAATATGTAGTAGAGTAATGCCTTTTGGTAAAAAATTAGTTGAATTTTAAATTCTGCTAATATTTATTTGGCCAAATTTTGAAAATAAAAAATCACCAAACTACCAAAAAATTCATTTAATAATTTAAAATGTTTATTCAGCCTTTTAATTAAATTAGCTTTTGCTTATAAAGTTAGGATTATTTTATAAAGTAAATGGGACAATTCGCTATATAGACTTTTTGCAGAAATGCCTCCAACACCTTAATTCGCCTGAGAATAATAGAGATATCGGGCGGAACAGCCAAACGATAAGAATGGAGCATCCTAGCATTAATCAGCCAAAGGATAATTTGTTGGATTATCAGTCCATCCATTCCTTAAATTATTTTTAATATTGAGTTCTTATTAGATAGTTTTTGCAATATTTTTAGTGAAAATTTTACAAATTAATGGTTCCTTTTATGTTGCTATTTTGATTTTACTATATTGGGATTTGCTGAAGAGCTCATTAAGGCTTAGGTAGCCCGATCACATACCCAATTCATTATACCTCTATATTCTATGAAAGTCACAATATTAGACGGAGAACATAAACAAATTTAATATTTTTTGCATGTTAGGAGAATTTTTTAGGAAATTTTGACCATTTTTAAGGGAATTTTTGTCTATTTGTAGCTATATTTTGTTATCAATGATGAAAAAATAAATGGGAATGTGGAGAACTTTAATCAACCTTTACACGTTCAATGATTAGATTAGCAAAGAATAAATATGCGAATTGTACGACGTCGCCATAGATCACACGCATTATAACATAATCTTTCATCGACGCAAAAGGATTGTTGAGACGACTAAAGGCGAGATTGGATGCTAGACACTAGAAATGTCCGAGACCGAAATTTTTCCAAGATTCAAGACCCAAGACAAAATTTTTGTCAAGACCAAGACCAAAACTCCAAGACTCTCTACTAGACAAAATCGTTATTTAATTATTATTCTGTCAGTCAATTATCTTTCTGTGAAATTTATTCTTACTCTAAATATTCTAAATTTGGTTTAATCCCTCAAATACTATAAATAAATTAAAAAATTGCAAACAAAAAATTATAAATAAATTTAATTTTGTATTTATTTAAAGAATTAAATAAAATTGCAAAATTTCACGTGAATTACCAAAAAAATTGTTTTATTTTTGGAAAAGATTAAAGGCTAAAGGTAAAATTCTTATTTGAGTTTTGATCGAAAAGTCTAAAATAGGTAAAACTTTTTGCTCTACTTTGGTCTTTTTTATTTTTTAGTCAAGTTCAGATTATCAAAATTTCAGAATTATCAAAAGTCTATCGCTAATTTATAGTTCTATAATAGAAATCTGCATTCTTTAGGTTCATGCACTTTTTCAATAAAACTGTGTTGCTTGTACATATCATTAATATTATTAATTTGATTATTATTTTGTTTGTATAAACGCAAAAGTTGTCGAGTTTCGAAATCGGAACGTGGAAGGCATACACTGCGGTGCATATGTTTATGCACACTAGTTTTTTGTTCATAATTTTATGCAATCTTAGCAACAAAATACGTTCTATATAGCAATCGAAAGCTCTATTTGTATCTCAGTTGACATGTTTCTGCATTTTCCATGAAAATGAAAATTGGCCGAGATAATCCGGATCTACCGGATATACCAAATCCCATATCCTCAGAAAAATTTTTCGGAAAAAATTTAACAAACCCATTTGATAAAGCATATTTTTGTGAGTATTTACCACAAAACCGCTTAGAAATATCTTTTTCCGGAACGGAGATATGATTTTTTGAAAATCGAAAAAAACGCGATTTTTTACGAAAAATGGCAAAAATATGGTATTTTTTCGATTTTCAAAAATTCATAACTCGCTCGAATCTCGACCGATTTGGATGATTTTTTTGTATTATATGTAGAATCTAGAGGAGAATCACATATATATTTTACAGACCTCAAAAAAATTTCTTCGAAAAGTTGAAAATGTAGTACCTGTTAGACCGGTCGAAAAGTTTTCGAAAATATCAGAATTTCGAAAAATGCAGAAACATGTCAACTGAGATACAGATAAAGCTTTCGATTGCCATATAGAACATATTTTTTGAATAAGTGTGCATAAACTTATGAACAAAAAACTAGTGTGCATAAACATATGCACCGCAGTGTATGAAGGGAACATTTTTTGATGTAAAGTTTTGTTGGTTTGTTTGCTTATTTCCTTGTTGATTTGCTTGAAGGTTTTCTTGAAGGCTTTCGTTGTCTCCATTATTATACCAACCATAAGGATAGCTTCCACTTGGGCATTGCTTTATCTGTTGTTTCGAGAAGCATATTTCGTTTTCCATTTCGATCAATCTGGTTTTCTCTTGTGGGGCTAGAAAAATTAAGAAAATTTTGTGGATTTTCAATTAATTAGTGATTTCGAGATGGCACTGTTTGTTATTCGGTAAAAATTTGTTTTCCGAAATACGAAGCAGAACTCGAAATTCACTAAATTCGAAATTTGCGAAACTCGAAATTTGTGAAACTTGAAAATTTGCAAGTTCAAACTGCTCTGTTGTTCAATAAAAAATTTATCTCAACTACGAAGCAATTCGAAAAACGAAACTCGGAATTCACGAAACTCGAAATTCACGAAACTCGAAACTTCACCAACCTATAATCTTCTCCATTTTATTTCCATTCATCTCACTCCTCATAATATATTGCTCACTTCCTTGATAATTATCAGAGAAATAGGCCTCATCATTTTCACTCTGATCACCAAAAGTTCCATCAAACATTTCATCTTCCCATTCATTATATTTTTTATTTTTGCTTCCTTCCTTCATTTCCTTACCCTCTTCTTCCTCTATTTCCAAAGCTTCAGAATAGCCAAATTTATTTTTATTTTCTTCATAAAATCTGTCAAGTTGTTGTTCATTGCACATTTGGTCGTTGTTGTCGTGGCTGTTTGAAAGAGAATAGGAACGATGGAATTGGGCGAGGTTGGAGGCTAGAAATGGAAATTTTTTGAGATTTTTGGGGATTTTTGAAAATTTCTGAGAATTTTCAAAAATTTTTTTGAAAAATCTGAAATTTTTCGAAATTTGTGGAATTTTTGAAAATCTTATCCAAAATTCCCCCTTTCTCACTAAATTCATTATTGGCCATTATCATTTCATTTTCATCATTTGTAGCATCGTCGTAGTGTCCACAAAGTCCACATTGAGTGTTTCTATAAGCCCCCGAAAGTTTAATCCAGGCCTTGTAGCCGTTGAAGCGAACAGAAACTTCCTTCAAATGAAGAGTTACATCACTCATTTTAGCATTGCTGTACTCCACAAGGTTGTTCTCATTATTTTCGTTCAAATAACGTCCATTAATTTTACACACAATTTTACGGCTGTCGGTTGTTTCGTGTTGACATTCGACGCTTTGTCCATGTATAAGAATTTTCAGTTTCTATTTTTAAATTAATTTTAATTTTTTTTTGAATTTTTTAAATTTGCCTTTTGACTAAAATGACTAGATCCTTCTCCAGTAGACATCATCATAACTACGAAATCGGGAATATGAATCATTCTACCGCAATCTTTGGCGAGAACAGAATAACAGCTGGTGGAGAGTGGAGCCTTGTATCTCTTTCCGTCTGTGGAAAAATCAGAATTTAGCGAAATCAGAATGAAATCAGAATTTTTAAAATCAGAATTTTGAAAAATCAGAATTTTACGAAATCAGAATTTTGGAAATCAGAATTCTGAAAACCAGATCAGAATATAATTAGAATTAGTAAACTCGGAATAATTTCAGAATAAAAACAGAAAAAATCAGAATTTGGGAAAATCAGAATAAAAAATCTCAATAAAATCAGAATTTTTAAAATCAGAATTTTGTATTTTAATATAATATGAAATCAGAATAACCAGAATTCTGCGGGATCAGAATTTCCCCCATTTTAAATTCTATTTACCGAAAGTCCGAACAGTCCTTCCATCAACCGAACACTCTGCACGATTTTTAATTTCTTGTTGAGAGTAGAACTGGTCGAAAGACTGGATGCTTTGTACATTTCGACGTCTTAGAGAAAAAGGACGAAGCTTGAAGGGCATTTCAATCTGTTGCAAATGGACAATCTGTTCTGGTGTCATAAGGGTAATGTTGGCATGATTTTGGGTTAAAGAGTCTATAGAGAGTGTACAGTATACCTAGGAAATTTTTAAATTTTTTGAATTTTTTTGCAAATAGAGAACCTTTCCATTTTCTGGATTCAAGCTACTTTCACTCTTTAATTCAGTCTTCGAATTCCAAAAATATTTAGACTTGACCAATTCAACAGCCCTTTCAAACACATTTCTGGTTGCTGGAGTTAAGTTGGTATATTCCATTCTACAGTTGTAGAGATTGATAAATGCCGTTCTACGTTGGAGTTTAGTGGTGAAAGGAGAGGAGTTTTGATCAGAATTTTGATTCTCCTCATTTTGTTCTCCCTCTTGATTTTCCCCTTCCTGCTGATTTTGGAACATATACCATCCAGAAGTTCTTTCAGGTGCTTGTTCCCCAACAATTCGCATATTCACTTGTTGTTTACGTGTATCCGCTCCCCAATTCAAATTTGCAAAGCTCAAAAACTGATCAGAGGCATAACTCGACGGAGCGGGTGTTGCTTACGCCGGTGATGAGGAAAGGTGTCCAGGAGCCCTAAATATAAATGAAATTTATGATTAAACAAGACATTTGGCCTCACAATTCTCTGAACGTGTGAAACACCAGCCATGATTCTCGCATCAATTTGAACTTTAGCTTCTTGATTTTGCCTATTTTGCAGGTGAGTACTTGCTTCTACATTCATGATCATCGGAACTGAGTTGACAATTTTGACAGGAATCCCCACAGAAGTTGGAATTAATGCTTCTCTCTCATTGAAAATTGCCGAATATGTGTGATTTTGGAAAGATTGGAGTTGTTGGAGATCGAATAACGAGATTAAACGATTGAACTTTGGCATTTCTCCTCTTTGAATTGACTGAAGAATTTCTTCCAACATTGGTGAAGTAGTTGGGATTGATGTTTGAGATGACATTATAGCCCAATTTTGTATCCCACTTTTTTTGGACATGTCCCAATTTTGATTTAGAGCATGGAACGAATGGTCAACATCTCCTATTCTAACACAGAGAACAGATGATGGGTTTTGCTGATTTCTGAGGAAATAATTGGTAGATTGCTGTCCATAGGGATATCCATATTTCAACGGATTCTGAGAGGAAGACTGTTGTTGTCCAGTTGGATATCCATATTTCAACGGATTTTGAGAGGAAGACTGTTGTTCATCTCCATATCCATACTTAAACGGATTTCGGCTCTTGATTTGAAGCATTTGATTAATTTGTTTCAGTGTTTTACTTAAAAGTGAAACGAATGAAAAGGCTTCATAAGAGCCTATGAATTTTACCTATTCTCACTGTGTTGGTCATTATTATTTGTACTGGCAGTGTAGTTACGAGTTTCTTCATAACTATCATAACCCTCAGAAGCTTGTAGAACATATACAGTTAAAGAGTCAAGATTCGACTTTTCATTTAGGTACGTGTCAGTTTTCAGATAAGAAAAGTTTGGCATCCAACGCTGAGCTTTTCTAGCCCCAATAGTGAAGAAAACTCCTTCCTGTTGCTTCGAGCAGAAAGCAGGAATTTGCCATAATTTGTAGTTTTTCATTTCTTCATTGTCAATATTGACAGATTTCAAAGCGTTTTTGACATGTTTTGACACTTGTTGATCTACAGGATTTCTCGATTCCGCCAACATTTTTAATGTCTGATAAGTACTCGCCTTTACACGTTTGTTTGGTTCCTGCCTCATTGAATAAACAATTTGGTCTATTACTGAAGGTTCTGGTTGTGTTCTCAATAGAGTATTCAAGGCGCTCGTACGAACATAAGCATCCTCTCGATTATTTAAAAATATCGGGAGAAGAATTTGTTGGATAGTTCGTGGCTGTTTTGCGAAAAGACGGCGAAGAGCATCAATAGCTTTTACTCGAATTAGATAATCTTGAGATTTGTCGTTAATTATCTGGTCAATGTAAGGTGTTGTAGTATCAATTCCGGCATTTCCTAAAGCAGAAAGTGCAAGGAATTTATCGTAGAAAGTTGTGGCTTGGCTGTACTGCTCTAACAATGTCTGGAAATGAAAAATGAGTTAATGTCAAAATGAAATTTTTTGTGGATTAAACTGAAGTGAAAGTGAAGGAAACGAGTGCTTTCTGGATACTGTAGATTAGATCAAAAGGTGGCAAAATGGCACTTTTTTGGGGAGTGACGAAATGACATTTTTTACCCTACGGAATTTTCTAAGAAATTTACCCTTTTGTACTCTTCCTTCTTATCATCAGTACATTGCTCCTGAACGGATTTTGACACATCCTGAGATGATTCCATCGCTTTTCTGCCCTTATGTTGGCATAATTCATTGACCAACGCACCAAAGGTTAGCCAAGCTGCTTGTCTAACCGTAGGCTTGTTTTGTACATTCACATTTTGAGCAAGTTGTTTGACTTGTTTTAGAATGGAGTTGGAAGGAATCGGAAGGTTTTTCAACTGATTAATGGCAAATGCTGCTTTGTTTTCATCAATTTCCTAGAAAATCAAGGATTATTTTCCTTAAACATAGCCTAGTTTTCACCTCATTTTCAATAATTTCAGCCAAAAGCTTCACAGTATTTCTTGTTCCACTTGTAGCCAAGGAATCAACAAAGACATCCATTGCAACCTTTTGCTGTTTCTCTCCATCTTGACTTTTGGCATTTTGTTCAATTTGTTTTAGCTCCTCATAACTACACATTCTCATTTTATTAACTAATCTACTCAGATCAACGGTATGTTTAGTTTTGATGCCGTGATGGTGATCCATTGTGCTCTGTACGATAGATCGGAGTGCTTGAGTGGCTTCTTCAACTTTTGGCATTTTGTATGGCAAACTGTTGACATCTGGGAAGGCTTCGTCTCCGAACTATAAATGAGATAATAAACTGTTTTTCGCTTATAGAACCCATTTTTTACCATATAGAAACGTCGAAGATCCATTCCCCATTCATTCGAGTAGAGCAATGCTTCATCTGATTCTGCTGTAGCAGCGAGAGGGGCTGGTTTTTCTATATTTTGTACTGTTTCTAAAACAAGTTTTGCGCATGTCTTTGTCTTCAATGCAGAGCCATAAAGTCCTTCACTCTCAATTTTTGTATTTTTATAAATATAGTTTGACGTCATTTCTGAATTATCCAACTGGCAACAATTTGGGTAATTATTTTGTTTTTGTTCCGTTCCGCATTTTAGCACTGCGCGGATGACTGTTTGACGATCCAACTGTTTAAAAGCGAATTATTCTAATCGGAATTCAAGACATTTTAAAGTACTAAACTTAGATGCCCCCAAAATGGGTAAGCATTAATCATAGGCTTTTAAAATTTGATTAGCCACAGGGCGGGATTGACGTCTAAGCGATACTTCATATTTTAGAGCTATTCAGAGCCTACCCTAAGGAGTATCCTAAACTTTTTTCTCACTCACCATCTGCTCAGTCATCTCTCTAGGGTCGCAATCTGCGCATTGATTCTCTGCTGTTCCCTCATGCTCCTCATTTACTTTCACATCCTCATTCATAGGGCATTGACTGCATTTTAGTTGAGGTTGTTCTGTCTGGAATCCGTTTGTTGAATCAGCAATTTTTGAACATTTTTTGAAATTTATCGACTTTGTAACGTTGTAAGAGCAGGGTTGTTGACTCTCTTGACATTGCTTTGATCCTTTATTAATTGTATAGATAGTTTGGCATTCCCCTTCAACGGTTGTTTCAGGAACTGTAAAGCTCTGAGCTAATCTATCCACATTTTTATTTTCTCCAATTGCATTTTGGGCCTCTTCATTATGGCGTAAATTCATTTGGAGCATGTTAAGCACTCCTCTTTTAATGTTTTTAGACCAAGAGACGTCTTGTTTCTCGAACTGGATTCGAGTGACCATTCCGTCGACGTAGTCGAATTGGCAGCAAAGTTCGAGTTTCTGACGAGTCTCTTGGGGAATTTGCAACTGGAAATTGTAAAAAAATTTATTCGAATTTTTCAATTCCTAAACTAACAGGTTCAAACATTCCCATTGGGTCATAACATTGTTTTTCCTTCATTTGCCTCATATCGTTAAATTGGCCAAACTTTAATTGAGTCATACAAAGCTGTCCACGCCTTTCGCTTGAAAAATACATTCGAATTTGTGCTTGGATTCGAGTAATTGCTTGTTGCTGACTCTCCTCTTTTGTTCCGGATGAAT